CTGGAGTCTCAAAACGCAAGAAGCCAGAAAGGACTGCAAATCCATTCATATTATTTTTTTCTAGCTGTGGCTCCCAAACTTGAACTCCTCATTTTTCAGTGTTTGGGGCCAGCTSGCAGGTTTTTAGTTCCTATCAGTGGCATAAGGTGGATGGTTACCCCGCGTGCACCCCGAGGAGGCCGGGGAAGCAGCCAGCCCTGCTGCAGAGGGGACAAAGAGGGACATCAGTGCCAGGGCACCGCAGTACCTGCCGCTTTCCAGTAATGACACAATTTAGCTGTTTTTCTTTCTCTCGCCTTTTTCCAGTATTAAGATTTATGGGGAGGAAGGGGCCCAACTGCTGCTGAGTGCAATAAACCTCTTGGAATTGGTAAGAAAAACGAAGAGCTATTCCTCCAGCTTGTTAGAGGGAAGTGGTGGGAGGAAGGCAGAGGCTGAGGGTTTCTCTTGCCTCGCTCGTCACCGCTGAACCCAGCACTATTTATGGTGCAATTATCACTGCAGACAGAATCCTTTATCACTCAGCCAATACRCTGGGTAGAAATCCTATCGTGGCCCAGGCACTCCATATATCACCCGGGCGCAGGGGCAGCCAGGTGAGGAGCTTCACTTACGGAGAACACGTCTGCACCATCGCTCGCCGCTGCCGCTTGTCCCTGCCACCTCTGCCCACACCGTATTTATGGCCACAGTGTCACAGGGATCTGCCAGCCTCCTCTGACCATCCATGCGGTGCCCAGGAGGTGTGGAGGACCACAGGATGAGCTGTTTTCCCCAGGACAGCCGGAGCAGCCATGGATCAACCCCTGCTGGTAGAAACCTCCTGTGTCCAACCTGGGAGACCCTGGTCAACCAGCCAAGTCACACAGCCTGATTTTCCCAGTGAATGGGTCTATACTCCCACCCACAGCAGCATTCCCGCTGTTAGGGAAGAGCCAGGAATGGGCAAGAGCAAGTGGCTTCTGCTCCCTACCTTGGTGTTGGGGCATGGGACCACTGGGGTGAAGATCAGCTCCATCAGCCGTGCTTCGCCGAGTCCTCCACGTCTCCCCTTTACCTCTCCTTGCACAGAGCCAGGCTGCGTTTATTAAGGGATAAGCTGTAATCCTTGTGAGGAGCGAGATTCCTAAGGCACAGGAACTGAAATGACAATTGATCACAATGCTTGTTTATCTTCTAATTGTCGCTGCCTCCTGCCTCTGCACGTTCCCAGCACTTACAGAGGCAGGAACGGGGCTGGGAGATGTAATTTAATACCCCAAACATGCCGGCTTAATTGCAATCCCCATAAGCCAGCCACACAAAACTCTAAACAAATTCGATTAATTTATTTCAATTTGCACAAGTCTCCTTCTCAGACGGTAATTAATGGAGGGAAACAATTAAGGTAAACAGAGAACAGCTGAGAGAGCTGTCCTTGCTAAAAGTCACATTTTATTTTAATAAAGCTCCATTTATATAACTTCCACWCTTTTAACATGTTTCCCATTTTCTCGGTGTTTAATCAGCCCTGTAAATATTTTGCCTCAGCTGGAATGGTTTCACAAAATCATGCATCAACACCCAGGGCCTCGAGGCAAGCAGCAAGCAGATTGCTGTTGGACTTTCCAGGGAATGCAGCCGTGGGCAGAGGCTCCACCACTTGGTCCTGTGAGAAAGGGGAAGGCAGCATGAGCAGGAAAACAGGCCTTGGGGAACATATTAATGCTCACCTGCTCACTGCCTGGAAGAGGGGCCCCACAGAGTGAAGAAACCCGCACAGACTCCCAACCGCTGCRTATTTGGGGACCGAGATACCTGCAGCCAGGTACTTTTTTGATAGATATTTGTCACTATTAGAGCATGCACAGAGGCTGGTTTTCCTCATCATGACAGCACCAAATGGTGCAGACAGCATCTCCAGGAGATGGTTCAAGGCTTGTTTTCCCATTTGGCTTAACCCTAGTAGCCTTTTCTCCTGTACTCTTTACCTCACCTTAAGTGCACAGCCTTCTCTCAACCTCCATCCTTCCCTGCACCCTGGCACTCTCATCAAGTTTTGGTGAGGGTGATGATCATGGACGTGGTTTCATGGCAGCAGTCACTTTGGTTGCCAACTCCAAGCAGATCAAGCCTGAAAGGAGAGTGGCTCTTGGTCCCACCAGCCACAGCAGACAACCACCCAGCCCATTCCCGGCCTGCCAGCTCCAGATGACATCTCTCAGCATCCTGCACATCTGGCTTGAAGCAAATTGGTGTTCATTACAACTCATTTATTAAAGTAGATTGTGTTTCTCCCTTCTTACACAGGGGCAGACTCAGATACCTCCTTCGTGCAGCCCAGGATGGGGCGGTCACACAAGAGCATCTGGCTGGCTGCCGCCCATCCCTGCTCCGGGCCACCTTCCCCACGCACCCGGCAGTCGCTCCACGAACATCAGGACTGATTTTGTGCTGCACGTGGTCCATGTGGAGGAGACAACAGGGCTGATTCCCCTGGATGACCAGCAGGTCCCACTCAGACCACTCCAGCAGTGGTTTGAAAGCAATTTGTTTCTCAGCACTGGTCTTTTCCTGGCTTTGAATATATCCTGTGGGTGGGTTCTCATGAACACGAAGCTAACAGCTGCCTTCATTGTTTTCCTTATTTTTCCTGAAAAAAGCAGGTATAATATGATCACTCATTGTGACAACTAAAGTATGGAAAAATCAGGTGCTGTTTCCTCCCTTTCTTTCTACCTTCACTACCCTTAAAACACAATGCACTCTGCTTTCTGTGTGAGCACCGCCTGCCTAGAGGAAAGAGTCTTACAACTTCATTTTGATTTTTTGCTGTCTCAAGCCCCAGCTGGTTTAATGGATTTGGAGCAATGCTACCTGCTAGAGAAAAGCCAGGAACAGCCTGGCACCCATGGAATTAATCACTTGCCCACCCTAGCAGGTGAKGAAGTTGTCCCATCTCCAGCATTTGTCACCTTGGACTCACCTTCCCGCAGATCCTGCTGCTGTAGGGGAGGTGATGGGACCTGTGCAGCACTGTGGAGGCGCTGGAAGACATCTGGGAGCAGTGACAAGTCCTACATCCACTGCACATCCCAGTGGATATTGGGGACACAGGCGTCCCCATGTCTGGGCAGAGCTCTGGGGTAGGAGGGTGCAGCCCTGCCCCATGCCCTGGTGCCATGTGGAGCACAGACACAACTGGTCCCCAAAACTGGTCCCCAAACCACGTGTGTCCTCAACACAACACCCATTATCCTGGTTCTGCCGGGACAGCCCCACACACCAGGTCCACCTGAGCACAGGCCTGCAGGACGGGACATCCCTGTGCTGGGACAAGGGGGTGGCCGCTCTCCCCACGCAGGCCTGCACCTGGTCCCCGCTTCACGGCCTCGACACCCACACTCAGCCTCGTCACCCACACTCAGCCTCGTCACCCACACTCAGCCTCCTCCTGACATCTAGTGGGAGCAGGGCCACACGGCACAGAGCCGCTGGCAGCCCCAGCCTTGCACGCGGCCCAGACCCGTCCGCATCCAGCCCCACTAAACCTCACGGGTGCTGGAGCACTCAGCAGCAGCTCCTCCTCCAGGGAGTTGCAACTTGTTTTATTTTTAAACCCTTTTCTGCAAGCGCTGGTGGTTTGGTTCGCGCTCCCGCCACGGCGGCGTGGGAGGAAGCTGGCGGCGGGGCTGCTCCCACAACAAATTTGTTTCCTATTTCTTCCTCGGGTTTGGAGAAAGCCTGGAGCCCAGCCCAGGAGGCTGCAGGCACGAGTCCGGCCTCTCCAGGCACAGCCTGGCCTTGCTGGGGGAGAAACYGGAGCTCCAGCTCTTCACAGAGCCCGTTAACACGGCCTAGGAGCCCCTGTTCCGAAACACAGGATAGTTTAAGGGTACCTACAGTGTCAAGCAGCATCTCAGCCCACCACTCCAGCTGCGGCAAAGTTCATTTTCACCCTACCTTTTCCATTTCCTTCTCCTCTCCACTATCTGACATTTACAGGCTGTGATCATAGAGTCCTTYTCAGGTGCCACAGTGAGGGCCAGCGCCTCCCTTTGCCCCCTGCCCCTGAGGCAGCCCAACGATGCCCAAGCATCCCAAGGAGTGCCCAAACACCCTGAGGGGAAATATCATGCAAACTCCAAGCAAACTGGAGTGATTTGGACAAGACTCGTCCCCAGAAAGGCCTGACAGGAGCGGCTTTGGACCCTGGTTCTCTCTGGCCACTAACCTGGAGCGCTCRTGACCCAGGGCAGCCACACGCTTCTCCCCAGGTCCCCACCAAACCCCCGCTTGCTGCACAACACAGCTCCCGCACAGGGCACGGCGGCAGCTCGGAATGGGGAGCTCCGAGCTCACCCTACCCTGCAGGAAAGAAAGGCACTCACCAGAATTCAGTGGTGGGAACCAGGGTGCTCTTCCGGCCACACACAGATGCCCTGGGACAGCCCGTGGCCCCTTTGGGTGTCACCCTGCTCCACAGAAACAGTGGCAAAGGCAGGGAGGACACAACTCCAAGGCAGAGGAGCAAATCCAGCTGCCCTCAGCCCCTTAGCTCTTCTTGCAGCCCCTCAGGAGCAAGGGCTCAGCAGCAGACCCAGGCAGGCAGGATCAGGCAGGAAGGAACCCCACACTCAGGGTGCACCCATGGGTGCCAACTCGCACACAGCGAAGAACGCAGGAGCCCCAACCCAACTCTCTCCCCCACACACATATAACGGCTCACAGAGCCCCCACATGGCATATGAAGCATAGGGGAAAGACAGGAAACAAGATTCCAGAAAAGATTTAATCCAATGATTCACTAAGTGGATATTATTCCCAATTTTCAAATCAGTCTTACAGGACATAATGGACGGGAGACAAAAATGTCAAGTCTTCAGGACCTCTGGAGAGGAGCAGCCCTGGCTGCCCAGGGGGTGACRCTCTCCAGCAGCACCAGGCATGTGCAGCCCGCCCCGTCTCCCCCGTGCAGGGCACACGGTCCAAACTCTGCAAACTGCCTTTCCCAGCCCTCCCCAGAGACTTGCCCCCTGACTTGTATCAGTCTGAAGTGTTTTGGGGGCTCCTGACCAGGCCCAGCTGCTGCTCAGAGCCCCATTTGCTGCCCAGGAAATATTGGGCACAGAGCTATGCTCACAAAGGAGCAGAAGGTTTCCCTAAAACACTTCCAGGCCTAATTCTCCCACATGGCTGGTTCCTTCAACCCACCTCCCTGAGAGCAGGTCCAAAAGTGCAGTGTGAGCCCAACAAGGACCCACAACCACCACCTGAGGAGGGGAGCAGGCACTAGCACCATCCCACATCACTTAAAGATGAGGTCTCCTCAGGCCACACAACCCCAATGTCCCCACGCAGCTCCATATGAGGGATGTTCCCTGCTAGTCCAGCATGACAAAGGCAGGCATGGAGTTAAGTAGACCTAGAGGAAGGGATGTGCGGACTGGGATGCCTCTAGAGCTACCTCGCTTCACTGCAAGGCCAAGGAGACTAAAAAGAATTGTGAGATCCAGATTAATTTATCCTTCATTTTAGTTTGAAAGACCACCAGGTCAGATTCATAAATGGAGGCTGAACCTTCAGCTTCAGAGGTCTGAAAAAGTTGGATATTCCAGCTCATTCCAACATAGCATTTCCAAAGCTTCTAAACACCCTCTTTCTCCTGCAGTACAGAACAGGTCCCTTTACTAGAAAGCTACATTGCTCTTCAAACAGGAGCAGCCAAAACCAAAGGGGTCCTGGCACTCATTTCTGTACCCTCCTTGGCACCAGAGCAGCTCATGGAAGGATTCTGGTTCTTGGGACATAGCCCAGTTTTCTGGGCTGCCGCTTGTGGGTCCCACTGGTGTCACCCCTGGCAGTGCAGCATGCCCATGGCTCCCACAGCTCACGTGGACGGTGTGGAATTGCTGCCTGCTGCCCCGCAGCCCCAGGCCAGCGGGTGCCCCGCTCACTACTGAGGYCACTCTGGGGCAACACAACTGTGCAAAAACCATGGAGAAAGGTAAGGAGACCAGCTGGGTGGCCACTGTCCCCTGCAGGCACCCTGAGGTCGCTCAGACCTGCCCGGGGGGGCCGTGCAGGGGCAGCGGGGACCCTCCGGGGTGCAGCAGTGCTGTGAGGATGCGCTGCAGCTGGGCCAGGCGGGCCCGCAGGGACGTCGTGGAGAAGAGCATCAGCTGGTAGGACRGGTCGAGGGGCAGGATGGAGATGAGCCACCAGCACCAGGTTGGTCCATCAGCAGAAGCCTAATGGCGAGAGAGAGGAAAGAAACACTCACGTCAGGCAAGAGCAAGGTGAGGTCTTTGGGTGGTACCTCCGATAGGAAAAACACACTCTTGTCAGCGAGGAAGCTGCTGCAGCGGCACTGGCTTTGGCTAAGGTATTCATTTGAACGGCCCTTTTGTCCGCCCAAGGCTTGAAACTGCTGGATAAAGGAATTCAATTTCCAGACAAACATACCCCAGGGAGCCTCCAGACACAGCAGCAACCAGGAAAGTGTCTATACCAGGGAGACAGAAATATCTCGTGCCTTTGTTTGACTGTAGACAATTCCTTTGCAAAGCACAGGCCAGGCTTTGCTCCCCAGCTGGGCTGCACAGCCCTTGCAGCACCTCAGCCAGGCCAGGCCCTGTGACAGGGCTCASGCTCTGGCCAGGCTGGAGGCAAGGGGGAACTCTCCTGGGGAGCTGCTCTTTCTCATTACTCCATTGCTCTAACAAGGGCAAGAAAAAACAGGCCASATAGGTGCAAGGGCTGGGCAAAGCTTTGGAAAACTCTCTACAAAGTATAAGCCAGTTTAAGAGGGTGATAGTCTGCTCGGAGGAGACGCTCATTTTCCAGTTCTGAGCACTGCATTGGCATGGCTGCTKCAGGACAGCTCCAACCAGGGGACACACCGGGCACATGCAGAAAGAGCATATCTGCAATGGTCAGGGCAGGAAGCACTTTCTTCAAAAGCAAATAACATTTCTAAATGAACCTGACAAARTAAATTGGATATTGTCTTGTCAGTGCCTCTTCTCAGGCCAGCAATGGCTCTTTCTCCAGTGAAACAATAAGAAAGAAGACCACAGATTCATGGGGTAGGGTGGTTTTCTGGGCTTTCTATCCCCCCCCAGCCCATGTGTTTTCAAATCCATGCAGCTCAGTTTTTACTTTGACATGAGGACTCAGGGAAAGCTTATAAAACTCAATACTTGGTTTCCAAGAACAGTTTAAAAAACACAGAAATGTTAAACTGCTTAACAAACAAGTCCTAAAATACCTCTGGGCAAGTGCAATAAACTGTAAAAAGTGAAAAACAGGGTCTGCTTTTTCTCATCTTTCACCCCAAGAGCCTTTGGGACCCAGTGAGAGCCTTGCAGGGAAGCACGTGCTCCTGGGYGCCACGTGCCGTGGTGCTGAGCTGGACCCAGAGCCGAGCACTGCTGGGCCAGCACGTGTGCAACTAGGCACAGAGCAAAGCCTTAGCACCAACACAACAAGCTCGGCCCCACCGGCCAGCAGAACTCGAGCAGCCTCTCCTGGGAAGGCTCAGGCTCCTGGCATGCACACATGGCTTTGCTTTCCTCTCCTGCATCCCACAGGGCAAGATTTCTGCCAGCTGAAGACTGACTACAGCAAGCTGAGGAAGAAGAGGGATGGGAGCAACCAGCACACTGAAAAGCATACCTACAACAAAGAACAAGGCTCTATAGAAGGTGACTCTATTAGCTTAGCAAAGCACTTCCAGGTCCTCCAAGCTCCCTCCTGTGACACGTTCTGCCTTCAGGTTCCTCTGAAGATGTGGTGGTCAGTGCAAGAACAGCTCTGATTCAAAGGCTCCCTAAGCACCCTTTTCCCTTTAGGGCATCTCTTCCTTGAGGTGTTACCTGGATGTCATCCTCCTTCTCYGGCAGGGATCCATGCTGCAAAGTGTATCTGGAGGCACTGTCTCCATGCTCACAAAACCTCTGAGCTAAATGGTAGGTGCTCTCATGCAGGCACTGCAGCTCCTCCAGCTCCTCCCCAGCCACCTGCATGGAGGAAAGCAGAAAAGGAAGTGCATGGGAGGGGGAAAACACCATGGAGCAGAGGCCATGAGGCAAAGAGCAAACTTATTCCTGCTGCTCCCACCTACAGCATCTCTTCTGCCCTCCAGAGTGTTTGCTGAGACTGAGCTACACAGCACAAAGCAAGAGGAGGATTCACACACTGTAACCTGGCTTCACTATCCATAACCAGGAGCTCCCAGGATTTTGCAGTCAAGATGACCTCCCCATTGTACATCCCGCTTTGCATTCAACTCTTGTACAAGGAGGCCAGCAAAGCCAACATGACTGGAATCCATGCCAGGATTCAGCTGGGATGCAGTAGTGAAGGCTGCCACCGGCAGACACAGCCACCCTGTGCCCCAGAAGCACATCCACCAAGGGTGTTTCCACGAGGCAGAACTGCCTCCTTTGTCCCCCTGCAATGGAGATTTCTGTCCTGGTCCTTCCCTCACCTTCTTGTCCTCCAGATACTCAATGTCTGCAGTGTCGTAGCCATCCCTGTGGCCCCGTCTCAGCACTCGGAACCGCCGCCTCCCTATCGTATCCACCAAGGATCTTCCATCTGCCAGAAACTCAATCTGCTGAATCTCCAGCATGCAGCCATAGTCAGCAAAGCTGGGGTAAGCGACAGAGAGAAAAGGAGGCATGAACAGGGGTGTCGATGGTGGCAGAGCTGCTTTTTCCCATCACACCACCTCCACAAAGAAGGCCCAGCAACAAGGGGGCTAAAATGGTGCAAATCCAGAGAATAACTCTGAGCTATCACTGAGTAGGAAACAGAGGGCATACTGCTGCACACAAAGCTCCCCTGGATTTGCCTTACAGCAAGRTCTTCATTCTGCCCTGACATCCAGAGGTCCTGAACCAACCACCCCTAGCTGAGACCATCTTCCCAAAGCCCATAAAGTGCTATAAATCCTATGTCACTAGAGAAGGACTGGGTAACGGGGAGAATCTGCCCAGGTAAACATACATATTGGTCAGAGTTCTTGGGCTAGTAGTCTAGACATACATTGCAGCTTGTTAAAGACGGTGTTTAAGATATAGGACAGCTTTAAAGTGATCACTAACACTGAAGCTGATAGACACAGTCAGACCATCATGCAGGTCACAGACTTCCCAGTTGCATCCTGCTCGTCCTCTTGGTACTARCTAGGATTTGAGAGACTTGCAGCTAACTCCCACTCTGAACTGGAGTCCTTCTGAAGGGAATGGGGTGATTTAGCACCTCTAAAAATGCACCAAGTGAGATGGGGGACTCCCAGCTGAGTTATCAGGAGCCCACACAGAGCTGCGAGCTCAATCCCTGTCCCTATGGCCCAGCGTAGCACCACACTATCCTTCTATGTCAGTACCTCTGAGATAACACCAGCTATGCAGCTTTCTGCGTGCTCCTGGACAGAAAAGATGCTGGGACCGACACATAAAGGGGCAAACGAGCAGTGCAGGAAGGGCAGGAGAGCTGCCTTGCACCAGGGCTCACCTCTTTCCATTCTCATAGATGCACATGCCAAACCTCCTGGTGCCAGTCTCCTGGCATCGCCGCATCATGAGGCGGTAGCGGGGCTCGAAGACATGCAGCGGGCATGAGACGCCTGGGAAGGACATCGTGCATACAAAGATGGGGATGTTCTTGGTCAGACTGAAGGAGAGGAGGAAGGGCTTGAGACCTTCAAGAAACAACTCCCACCGAGTCCCAGCTTGGATCCTGGCTGCCCTCCTGAAGCAGATCTGCAGGTACTTTGTCCCAAAAAGGGATGCGCTGGCTCAGACTGACACTAACACCTCTACTCAGATCACCAAGAGCCCAAGGACAGGCTCTGTTCACAGGCTGGTYCTCCCAAAACAGCCCCCCATTCCCAGTCCCATCTGGACCCTCCCAGCAGTGCTGTGCCCCACTCCTGGAGGCAGGACAGAGGCAGCTCAAGCAGACCCAGGCCACAGCAGCACCGTGTGGTGCAGGCAGCCCCTGCCCTGCTTCTCTGCATGCTCACACCACAGTCGCTGCTTACTTGGAGAGCTCTGCCATCTCGGCCTGGTGCAGCGCCCTCCGCTCGGCCAGCTCGGAAGGGAACACGGCCAGCATGATCTCCTGCAGCAGCACACTGGGGTTGTAACTGCCAGCCTTTAGGTACTGAAAGAAATGAAACCCAGAAAGAGGTCGGATAAGAGCAGGAGGGGAGCTCCTGAGGCCCTCCCAAGCTCCCAGTCACACTCGCTTATATGGGAGCGGAGAGTAATTTCAGATCAGAATGGCAAAGATRAAAGTGACTGATGTGATGCTGTCCAGCCAGAGCCTGGAAACCAAGGCTTCCAGGCACAGAGAACTGGTCTGGTTTAGTCTTACRGCCCATCTAAATGCGAAGTCCTGTCTCTGACAGCAATGCAGTCCTTGTATGACAACTTGATATCCCAGATGGTCTTAATCTGAAGACCTTCTCGTTAAAGATTGCACCACCACTCCAAGCTAGGAGGTTTYCCATCCATTTCAATTTTTAAATGCTAGTAGCATTAACTTTTTTCTTTCTTGGTCCTGTTTACAATCTCACTAAACCACTGTGGCACCCTGTGAAAACRAATCCCTCAGTCTTAACTACAAACTGTGTGGCCCTTCCCATGCAAGTGAAGCCAATGTGCCTCCATCAGAWAATCCTTGGCAAGCAGCACAGCTTCCCACCCCAGCCCCAGCATCCTGCCTGCAGCCAGAGCCAGCACACCCAAACCCCCTTAGGCTCCATCCCAATGGAGCGCACAACCTCACCTCCCTCAGGCTCTGTTTGCAGAGGGGGCAGTTGGGCCTGTGGTCCAGGCAGCGTTCGAGGCACTCCTTGCAGAAGGTGTGCCCACACGGTGTTGTCACAGGCTCAAAGAACAAGCTGCAAAACAACCCAAAAGTCATCAGATTGAAGAAAGCCTCCTTCAAAGATGAATACTGCATGGTAAGACACCACTGAAAGCTATTTCATACTGTGTTTTCCATGGTCAAGCATTACAAAATTGTGAAGTTTGCCCTCACTAAAGCTGCATAGCTAAACTTTGCTTGTAGCTGCTGTTCTACAGGCTCCTGAACTAAAAGGTTCCTAACGGGTTTAATGTTTTTAAGCAAGGAGTCTGGGATCAGATTGCTGGATGTGCACAAGGGTGTAAGCCACATGAAGTGTTTCCTTCTCCCTTAGCTCTCAGTTCACCTAACCCACACCAGATACAGCTTTGGTCTGGTCCCTGCTCTGCAGGGCCCTCACAGGCAGCCGTTCSCCCGTGCCGTGCCCAGACCTGGAAGACGCCGCTGCCCAGCAGACCTTGACCACCCTGCACGTGTGGCAGTGGAACTCTGCCAGAGGGTGCTTGCACAACTGCTCAAGGTCCTGGCACACACTGGAAATAACCTCCCGATTTCAACATGCCCTCTGGCTGTATGTGCTCACCCAGCCCTTCCCAGGCCTGGCAGACAGACACGTGCTCTACCYTGGTCCCTCTCCCACGTCCTGCATGCACAGAACTTGTCCAATTCCCCTCTCTGGGGTTGCAATGGCTGCATTGAATGGCACCTTCCCGCAGAAAAGTCTTCCTGTTCTGGGCTGTGGCTACAAAAACCAATCACTGCTTAAGATGTTTGACCCCACTGAACATCTCCACCTCTGCACTGACGTTATAAGCGATACAGATGTAGAAATGTTGGGTTCAGTCAGGAGAGTGGATATAAGCTCTTCCAAGCCTTAGAGGGCAAAGCCTGCCTCCAGACCTTCTTCCTCACTTTTCTCTTATACTTTAACCTGTGTTTGTGCAGTGCTGGGGACTGAGTTTGCTGCCAGGGTGTGAAGAAAGCTCCAGGCAAGGAAAGAAACCCTGGCAGGAACCTCTTCTTCATCATGACAGCTCGCTGTCTGGAAAGCTCACCGGATGCAGAGGGAGCACTCCAGGTCAGAGAGGCTCAGCAGGTCCCCCAGGTACAGCTGGTCATCTGCTGCTGCTGCTTCCTCTTCACTGTCTGGTGGGAGAAAAAGAAGGAAAAATAACACTCCCTAGGAGAGATGCTGAGGTTTTCCTCAGTGCCAAGACAAGCAGGAACTATGACACGACCTGGTATTCTGCCTCTCACAGGGTGCAGGATTTCACCCCGTTCATGTCACCAGGACACACCAGCAGGCAGGGCAGGCTAGGGGACAATGCAGCTGGTTAAGTGACTGTTTGCACCTCTGCACAGGCACTGAGTCCCCGCAGGTTTTAGGCCCAGCAATTCAAAGGGAGTCTCCTTGTGACTCCACGTATCAAAAGGAAGAAATGATATCTAGTTTTAGCTAGAGGTTTTCAAAACAGGTCCAAAGATCTGGTGTACTTTCACCAGCTCAATAAAGTGTATCAGATCCCCTCGCCTCCATATGTGGAAAGCRTGATGCCTGGAGCTGCCCCATCAAGCATCCCTGGGATCTCCAGTCACTTCTCTGGCACGCCACAAACAAGATTTCAGCATCTAAATGTATTTTAAACAGGAATTTTGCCCAAGGTGAAATTTTGGTACCTCTGATGACACTTACCTGACAACTGTCTTTCCTGGTTCTCTGCATCCGAGTCTTGCTGTCTCTCCAGTGGGGAAAGATTGTGCATCAACTGGACACCCTTAGGGATAGTGTCCCCTTTGCCATTCTCCATTGGTCCCTCTCGATCCTGGACAATGCAAAGGGGAAAAAAATACAAAAATCAAAAATCAAACCTGTTGCCCCTGGCTCCCTCTGCACTTCACCCAGCCCCATCTACACAACAGAGCCTGTGCTACCAGGAGCATTTMTGTGCATTATTATGTACTGGCCTGTTGGTTATGCTGGATGCTCACGTAGGGACACTCCAATCTGGAATGTGCCAAAGGGACAGTAAGTAGGTCCCATCAGTGCCTCAGATCACTGCAGGCTTTCTCACCTCACYGTGCTCTTGTGCAGATGTGGGTGCAAATCCAGCACTCGATACTTCTTCCCCTGTGCTCCATGTGCCCTCACGGGCAGCAGCTGGAAGCTCTTCAGTTGAGCTTGGACAAGGAGAGACATCCTGTGCAAGGATCTGCAAGGACAGGACATGGCTCAGCTGTGATGCCTCAGAAGTGAGCGGGAAGATGCCCAGCCTGCCATACTCAGTCCCTTGCAAGGCCTAAACCAAACCTCTTATTCCCCGCAGCCTCTCAAGGGCACAGTACAGGCTTGTTTCAGCATTAGCTGAGCCCTCCATCAAACCAACACGCAACCCAGACYAGGGTAGAGACATGAGGTAGTGAATAAAAAGGCATGATTAATAGTCTGGAACTCATGTTCTCTGCCACCCAAAAGGAGCAGAAAGGAACAAGTGACCAGGACGCACACGGTCATTCCTCTGACCCCTGCCCCTGACAGAGGCGGTGACAGTGATTTCAGTACTGGGTTGGGTGCTGGACAGAAATCAGATGCAGAAAAGCCTCCACTGACAGCTGTTTGCTGGCTGTTTTGGTGCTGGTTGTCACCACAGTGTCTATAGCCCCCTCCTGCCTGGACACTTGCTCCTGTTACGAGCTAAACCCTGCAAGAACCAGGGCCTTGCAGACAGGAGGGCATTTTTCTCCATGGGCAAACTCACATAGGGCACCCRTGCAAGGAACTGGCCCTCCGTGCTCCTGAGCAGCAAAGCTGGGCTGGGCACAAGCCCTTCGGAGGCAAAGCTTATCTCAGGGRCCAACATAAAGGCACAGGAACACTGTGGCTCAGAGCAGAGCTCAGCCTCGGGAGGACCCTTCCCATGCACCCGCTCCAGCCCGCTCCGAGCARTCAGGAAAGCGGGACTCAGCACAAGGCAGTGCTCGAAGGCCAACCAGGCTTCAGCTCTTTGCCCCAGCTGCAGGAGCACCTTCCCTTTCCTGAAGAAGCCCTGCAGAGCAAAACATGGGCTGACTACAAGACACAGGCAACACTTTTTTCCCAGTATTTCTTTCAGYCAGAGGCTTGGACAAAGCAGCCAACTCAAAGCCAGCTTCCTCCTAGCCCAGCCTAGTGACACAGCTCAGGATGCAGCACAGCAGTCCTTTCTCCAAGGCTTTTGCTCCAAAATCTCCTGTTGCCAGAGCAAGGAATATGTAGAGCTGCTGCCCACACTCCGAAGCATTTCCTCTGCTCACCTCACTATCTCCACGCTTCATCCTGCACACCACATCCAGGTCCTCCGGTGCCTCTGGATACTGTCCCAGTGTCACATACGCCTCTGCCTGGTGCAGCYGCAGGGAAGCATCATCTGCCTCTGGAAACAGAAATGTCATTACTTTTGCCATGAGTTCCATAGATCCACACTTTGAGCTGCCACTGTTGGACAAGCTTAAGGAGATTTTGCCATCTACAAATTTCTTTATTTCTCCCTCAGTATTCCCTGTTGCCCTGGAAAGCTCTCAGCCATGGGATCTCATGGGTGCCCTGGAGCTCTGTTTCAGCATCTCCTTGTTTGCCTACAATGGTGTCTGTGCCTACAGCCATCCTTTAGGGACACAGCTGCTGGAGAATGGGTGTATCACGGACATCCTCCCAATGGTGGCTGTTGCCATGGGAGGTGCTGCAATATGATTCACCCTGCAGAGCCACAATAACAAGTTACAAAACAAGCCAGCAGCTGCGGAGACCTGCAGTCACAGAACCTAGAGAGCCTGCCGGACCCAGCACTTTGCCAGCTGTGTCCCAGGGCAGAGGGAGAGCCAGGGGAGCTACAAGGGGGACTCCAGATCTGCCTCAGCATCCTGGGGGCTGACTCCTGTGAAGAAGGCAAAGATGGTAGACCAACAAGTCCCAGTATCAGTYCCAACCTGAGGATGTTTCCAAGTACAAGAAAAAGGCTGAGATTTCCCAAAATGGAGAAAGGGAATTCTGTACCCAGTTCTTACTTATCCAGCTTGCAGGGAGCAAACTCTCACTGATCTCGCTTGGGATCTCCACAGAGCAGGGAAACAACTCCCATAGGTGCTGCTGGCCATGCAAACCTTTCTCCCACCTCATAGAAACCCGATTACATAGGGTACCTATGTACACCATCATTGTACACCTTTCCATGTGCACCATCCTTTCCATGTACACTGTCAATGTAGTGTTTTGGGGGGCACATGGCACTGGTGAGGCCAAGCAAACAGTCAACCACTAATCAAATCAGCACCCATGCAATACAGATTACAGAAGAGGTCAGGCGTGGTCACACTTGTGGGCTTGAGCTGTGGTAGATTCACAGATCCACCCCGTTATATCACAGTTTGCTGTGGAGATAACCTATATCCAACATGCTGGTGCCTTACCTAGCTAAGGCCATGGATCAATAACCCCATGTCAGGTCTCACCTCACACTGAACGAGTTGCAGAGGAGGCGGCTGTTGAGAGCTACAGATACCTGCTACAGATACCTGTTTCTGGGATGGGGGGATGCAGAGGTGATCCCAGTTCCCTAGGGACAAAGGGATGCTCCTGGCTTTCTGCAGGACAGGCAGGGCAGCRTGCACAGACCTCAGCCTTGCACCAGGGTTGCTGAGACCACCGACTGGGGCAGGAGCCGCATGGCTGGGGTGCCACAGTCGGACACCAGCTGCATCCCCCTGAATCCATTTTGAGGCTGCAACACAGCTCCGTTTACCTTGTGAATACTCGGCCTCCAAGAACACGGAAAACAGCACAGGCATCGTGATGGAAGCATTAAACGCTCCCCTCTCCTCAGAGCCAGGGCACGGGCTGMAGCCAGCAAACCTCCCTCACTCCTTCCTGCGAATCTGAGGCCRCACTGGCATCATAAGCAAGGAACCGCGCTCAGGTGCTGGATTTACCGGGGCAAAGGGCTTTGCAGAGGCTGCAGGGCTGGCAGCTCAGCCCTGGGCAAGAGTCAGGCCCAGCCCGCACCAGATACAGCCCTGCAGGAGCCTGTCCCCAAACCTGCCGCTGCTGTCACCRTGGCCAGGCTCCCAAAGCCCCTCATCCTCTTGCTGTGTCTTGTTGGGGTGCAGGAAGGCTCTGCCCAGCTAGTGTCTTTCACTGCCCTGCAAACCCTGGCCACTCCAGGCTTATTTCCACTTACCCCAGGAGCTTAGGCTCGGTTCAGAAAGGCTGGGAAGTTACTACACTGCCCCCGTGCCAGGGACCTAGAGACAAAACACTGCAGCACTTAATGATAGCTAGAGAGGAACAAGCAGGTACAAAGTCTAGGGGCTTGTTTTCCACAGGAGCCACCATGCAGCTGAGACACTTGCACTGCCTGGCAATACAGCAATGGATTCGGTGAAAACAAGATGTGTAAAATCGGGCTACAAACTCTGCATTTCTCTTCAGCTGCAGCTATTTCTCATCGATGATATCATTAGACATTAGGGACATCAGCCAGCTGGCAGGCCTGGCAGCTGATGAGTGACTGATAGTGCTCTCCAAGCTCCCAGCACATTAGAAATCCTCCTGTGTTACTCGTTACAGTGCACGTTTTGTTTGATTASAGAAAGAAAAAAAAAAAGAAAGAAAGAATAAAAAACAGAAAATAAAAAAGTTGAGTATTTTAGGGCTAGAGTCTCCTAAGCAAGCAGAGCTTGTTCTTTGGGTAGGGTTCGCTGGAGACTTCGTACAAAGCCAGAAGCAGCAGTTTGTGTGGCAGGACTGCTGAACGGGATACTAAGTGGTCCACAGAACTACCCCAACAACCACACGCTCTTGTGAGGCAGCATTCATCGGTGATAAAGCACAAAGAGCAGCCCAAAAGAAGCTGGGAAGCCTGAAAGTGCTCTGCAGACCACGCAAGCTGGAAAATCACCTCCCCAAAGCACCAACCACATGTCAAGAGTTCATGCAATGAACGTGTGCTCACTGATATATGAGCCACAGCTGTAATTCCCCTTTCCTCTCTGCCCTAACCTTGACTGCCCCGTCCTTCAGGGACCTGTACTTGTAGCGGACAAAGACTACGGAAAGCACTTGGAAAGTCTTGCTCTGTAGTAGCAGAAGCTGCTTTAAAGGAGGTATCAGAGTGCATTGTTGCATAAGAAAAACACGTGAGAATGGCAACAGTGAGGGAGTAAGAGCCCACCTCGCAGGGCCGCTGTGTTGAAAGGTGAGTGCACAGCACGAAAACACTTTGGGTGTCATGTAAATCGCCCTCGTCATCGCGCTGGGTGCTCAGCGTGCAGCGACCAAGCGCACCGCGGGCGCTGCTGCTATAGAAACGCGCGTCTGGAGGGGACCTCTTGCCTCTGCCCGACTCCCTGCTGCTCCAGACACATTGTGTAACCCCTTTTATTTAACCAGAACTCTCCGAAAAGCCCCGTGGCAGCCCCACATTAAAGCAGACCAAGCCCCCAGGCCCAGTCCTCACCCGGAAGGTCAACATCTTGTCCCAGGGAAGCCCTTGCTCTGCAGCCTGGCCGGGGCTGTGCTCTTGTCACACTCTGGGGGCTTCAGGAACATTTACCCTGGTCTGCAACGGTCCCGAGCAGGTCACACAACAGCCTCTCCACCCTGGGTCCAACCAGCCCAAGCTCTTCCGCTGGCCCTGAAGCATCCCCAGCCACCCCTGAGAAACCATGGAGCCCTTGGCTCTAAGCGCGACCCAGCGAGCCCCACGGAAAGGCAGAGGCACCGAGGCCGGTGCCTTCGAGCCGAGCGAGCAAATGCAGCCTCCGCGCCCCACGAAGGGCTCCGCGAGCGCCCGGTCCCCCCGCAGCCCCGCACTC